TGTGGGTTTGTCATATACGGCCTTTATTATGTTGAGGTACTTTCCTTCTGTACCCATTTTAGTGAGAGTTTTTCCATGAATGGATGTTGGATCTTGTCAAATGCTTTCTCTGCATCTATGGAGTTTATTGCATGGTTTTTTCCCTCATTTTGTTAATGCGGTATATCACATTGATTGATTTGCAGATGTTGAACCATCCCTGTGTCCCGGGTATGAATCCCATTTGATCATGGTGTATATGATCTTTTTAATATATTGCTGTATTGGGTATGCCAATATTTTTTGAGGGTTTTTGCATCTATGTTCATCAGTGATACTGCTCTGTAATTTTCCTTCCTTGTGTTGTCCTTGTCTGGCTTTGGTATCAGGGTGATGTTGGCCTCATATAATGTGTTAGGAATATTTCCATCTTCCTCAGTATTTTGCAATAGTTTGAGAAGAATAGGTAAAAAATCTTCTTTGAATATTTGGTAGAATTCATCAGAGATGCCATCTGGTCCTGGACTTTTATTTTTGGGGAGGTTTTTGATTACTCTTTCAATCTCTTTACTTGTGATTGACCTATTCACATTCTCTATTTCTTCTTGATTCAGTTTTGGGAGGTTGTTTGAGTCTAAGAATTTATCCATTTCTTCCAGCTTGTTCAGTTTGTTGGCATATAGTTTTTGATAGTATTCTCTTATAATCTTTTGTATTTCTGTGGTATCAATTGTAATTTCTCCTCTTTCATTTCTAATTTTATTTATTTGCGGCTTCTCTCTTTTTTTCTTACTGAGTCTAGCTAAGGGATTGTCGATTTTGTTTATCTTCTCAAAGAACTAGTTCCTTGTTTCATTGATCCTTTCTGCAGTCTTTTTTGTTTCAATTTCATTTATTTCTGCTCTAATTTTTGTTATTTCCCTCCTTCTGCTGAGTTTGGGCTTTGTTTGTTCTTCTTCTCCTAATTCTGTTAGGTGTACTTTAAGATTGGTTATTTGAGCTTTTTCTTGTTTGTTAATGTGGGCCTGTATTGCTATGAATTGCCCTCTTAGACCACTTTTGCTGCCTCCCATATGAGTTGGTATTGTATGTTTTTGTTCTCATTTGTCTCCAAATATTTTTTTATTTCTCCCTTTATTTCTTCAATGACCCATTAATTGTTCAGCAGCATGTTGTTTAGTTTCTACATTTTTTGTTCCTTTCCCTGCTTTTTTCTTGTAGTTTATTTCCAGTTTCATAGCATTATGGTTGGAGAAGATAGTAGATATGATTTGAATCTTTTAAAATTTATTGAGGTTTACCAATATTTGGTCTATCCTTGAGAAGTTCCATGTGCTCTTGAGAAGAATGTATATTCTGCTGTTTTTTGATGGAATGCTCTCTCTGTATCTATTAAGTTCACCTGGTTTAGTTTTTCATTTAATTCCACTATCTGCTTGTTGACTTTTTGTCTGGATAATCTATCCATTGAAGTAAGTGGGGTGTTGATGTCCCCTACTATTATTGTGTTGTTGGTAATATTTCCTTTTAGGTTTGTTAATAGTTGCTTTATGTACTTTGGTCCTTCTGTGTTGGGTGCATATATGTTTATAAGTGTTATGTATTCTTGGTGGAGAGTCCCTTTTATCATTATATACTGCCCCTCTATGTCTCTCTTTACCTGCTTTATCTTGAAGTCTACTTTGTCTGATATATGTATGGAATGCCTGCTTTCTTTTGTTTGCCATTAGCTGGGAGTATCATCTTCCATCCCTTCAGCCTGAGCCTATGTTTGTCTCTAGAGTTGAGATGTGTTTCCTGGAGGCAGCATATTGTTGGGTCTTGTTCTTTAATCCATCCTGCCTCTCTGTGTCTTTTAATTGGAGAATTCAGTTCATTTACATTTAGAGTAATTATTGATATATGAGGGCTTAATACTGCCATCTTATCGCATGTTTTACAATTCTTCTGCATTTCCTTTGTTTCTTGTCCCATGTAGTTCAGACTACCGATTTGATTAGGTAGTTTTCTATGTCGGTTTTCTTCATTTTCTCCTTGTTTATTGTATATGTTTCTGTTCTAATTATTTGTTTAGTGATTACCATTAGGTTCATATAAGAAGTCTCATGGATGAGATAGTCCATTTTCTGATTGCCTCTTATTTTCTTAGACTATACTGATTCCGTCCTTTTCCTCTTCCCCTTCTAAATTATTTTTCTCATATCTTATTCCATCTCGTGTTGTGCATTTGTGGTTAAAATGATGAGACAAGTTTATTTTAGTGTTTTCCTTTTCTTTATCCTTGATGTAAAAGTTAGGTGTTTACCAACCTGATCTGATAGAGAGCTGCCGTTTTCTGATTATTGCCTACCTATTTATCTCCTTGCTCAGGACTTTGCAGCCACTTTCCTGTTTTTTTTTTTTTTTCTTTCAGGTATGAGAGGCTTCTTGAGGATTTCTTGTAGGGGAAGTCTTGCGGTGATGAACTCCCTTAGCTTTTGTTTGTCTGGGAAAGTTTTTATTTCTCTGTCATATCTGAAGGAGATTTTCACTGGAGAGAGTATTCTTAGCTGAAAGTTTTTGTCTTTCAGGATTTTTAATATATCATTTCCACTCTTTCTTAGCCTGTAAGGTTTCTGCTGAGAAATCCACTGAAAGCCTGATAGGGTTCCTTTGTAAGTTATTTTCTTCTGCCTTGCTGCCCTTAATATTTTTTCTTTGTCATTGACTTTTTCCAGCTTTACTACCATATGCCTTACAATAGGTCTTTTTGCATTAACATAGTTGGGAGTTCTGGTGGCCCCTTTCATGTGGATTTCCATCTCCTTCCCTAGATTTGGGAAATTCTCTGCCATTATTTCTTTGAACAAGATTTCTGCTCCATTCTCTTTCTCTTCTCCCTCTTGAATACCTATAATCTTTATGTTGCATTTCCTAATTGAGTCATATATTTCTCTGAGAGCTTCTTTACTTCTTTTGAGTCTTAGTTCTCTCTTCTCCTCCCTCTGAAGCATTTCTATAGTATTGTCTTCTAAATTGCTAATTTGGTCTTCCATATTGTCAGTTTTGTTGTTTAGGAGTCTAGAATTTCTTTTTATCTCATCCATTGTGTTTTTTATCTCCAATGTTTCTGATTGGTTCTTCTTTAAAGTTTCAATCTCTTTTGTGAAGAAGCTCCTGAATTCATTAATTTGTCTTTCTGTGTTTTATTATAACTCATTAAGTTTTTTTTATGATAGCTATTTTGAATTCTTTGTTATTTAGGTTATGGATTTCTGTGTCTTCAGCATTGGTTTATGGATACTTGTCATTTTCCTTCTGGTCTGGAGATTTAATATACTTTCTCATACTGATTGATGATGTGGATTTTTGTCTCCACATGGTGTTATTATGTAGTCACTGCTGCCACGTGCTTCCATTGGGTGGGGATCAAGCACTGTGAATTCTGGGCCCAACTCCATCCACTGACTGCTTTTCTCACTATGTGATGCTCTGGCCAATGGCAGATCTGGAGCACTGGGCAGGGGAGGGGTACTCTCTTTCACCTGTGCTTCCCCCAGCCTCTGCTTCTCCCTCTGTGTGGAGCTCTGGACAATTGCAAGACAAGTGCCAGGTTGGGGAAGGGTCACTTCTTACACCTGCATGCCTCCCCCAACTGCTGCATCTTTCTCTGTGTAGTGCTCCAGGCACTCATGGGGCTCCACTAGCTGCCACTTCCCTCTCTGTTCCATGCTCTGGGCTATCATGGGGCTGGAGCACTGGGCATGGATGAGGCACCTCTCTTCAGCTGCACACCTCCCCCAGCCGGCCCCTTTCTCACTGTGCCATGCTCCATGTGATTGTGTGGGGCTGGAGCACAGGTGGGGATGGGGTGCCTCTTCTCAGCTGCTCACCTCCCCCAGCCGTGGCCCCTCTATCTCTGAAGAGCTCCTGCTGATCAGCTTCCACTTCCTCTGGAGGATCCAGCCCCACCACCACCTTCAGTTGTATGGTTGTGTGGGTCTCTCAGACATCTTTTGTGCTGTGTGTGTGTCCTCTGTTGGTGCCTGAATGTCCTTTTGGTTGTATCCTAGAGGGGAGAGTCCAGGGGAAAAGCTCGCTCCGCCATGATGCTGATGTCACTCTCACAAGTAGTTTTTTTTAAATAAAAATGAGATGGCATTAAGATTAACTTTAAACAAAAGACTGTCTTTGTTTAAAAGACTTTAAACAAAACATTTATTATAGAAACAAGGCACATTCTTTACAACCACAGACACATTTACATTTGAATATTTGGAAATAGATCAAAGTCTGTTACTAATAAAAAAAAAGTGTCAATAAAATAGACCACTTGTCATGTGGCTTCTCCTTTTTTTGAAAACATAAATTTTACTGAGTTCTTCTCTTTATATACAGCTTCTACTGGAGAAAGAGTAGTGTTGATCTTGAAAATAGTTTTTATTAAAAAGCATTGGTTAAGATTTAATTTGACAATTGGGTAAACTAAAGTCAGATTCCTCCCATTTCATTCTTGACCAACAAACTAAGTTAAAATAATATTGAAGCTCTTAGGGGCACAGACCTTAATAAGTTTATCATTTCTGATTTTGGGTAATTAAATGTGCTTGAAAAGAGGTCATTTTTTCTGTTCTTCTTCATTCCATTGCCTTCTGACTTTTTATAAATTTTATTGAGAAGTCAATTCCCAGACTTATTGTTGCTTCTTTGAAAATGTTTTTGAATTTGTGGATTTGTGTCTTTCATTCATTTTGGAAAATAACTGACCTTATTTTGCCAAATATTATTTAGGTCCCATTTTCTTTCTTCTGTCATTCTAGGATTCAATTACAATTAAATCTTTTTCAATTTATCTCACATGTCTGTTATACTTGTTTAAGTATTTTCCATTCTTATTTCTATCTGCGCTTCAATTTGGTGGTCCAACTTCCAGTTAACTGATGCTGTCTTCTGTTACATCAAATCTATGTTTATACTGATCTTTTGAATTTTTATTTTTAGCATTGTATATTTCAATTCTAAAACTTCCATTTAATTTTTTTTTATGCGCCCTAGGCATGAAACAGCTCTGGCCACCAACCCAGTCATCAAGCTAGGATGAACAAAGGACTGTACAACTGACTGATATAAGAGCAACACCACCAATCAGGTGTCTCTTTGCCCATTCCAAGGGCAGTCCCTTTAATCTTTTTATGGATTCATATTCTTTTCTGAAATTGGCCAACTTTTCATTTAATTCTCTACATTTTCCTTTATTTTTTTGCACATATTAATCATAGTTATTTTAATGTTCTTGTTTGCTGACTCTTTTACCTGAATCACTTATGGGTGATTCAGGTAATTCTATTATCTACTTATTCTTGTTCTCTTGGGCTTTGATCATATGATCTTGTCTTTTAGCATGCATAATAATTTTTCAATTGAATGTGGAACACTGTATATAAAACATTTTTGGGGCTGGCCCCATGGCCAAGTGGTTAAGTTATTGCGCTCCGCTGCAGTGGCCCAGGGTTTTGCTGGTTCAGATCCTGGGCGTGGACATGGCACTGCTCATTAGGCCACGTTGAGGTGGCATCCCACATCCCACAACTAGAAGGACCCACAACTAAAACATACAACTATGTACTTGGGGGATTTGGGGACAAAAAAAAGCAGGAAAAAAAAGGAAAAAAGAAGATTGGCAACAGTTGTTAGCTCAGGTGCCAATCTTTAAAAAAACAAAACAAAACAAAACAAAACAAAACATTATTATCTGACTGACATTATCTTTCTCCAGAGAAACTTCACCCTTTTCTAGGCATGTTGTTGCTGTGTTTTGTAGAAGTCATGTGAAAATATTTCCTGTGACATTATATCCTGTGAAAATAACCCTTAACCTCTAAAAAAATCTTTAAATGAGAATGATTACATTGGTAATGTGTTGGTCTGGCCATACTATTTAAATTAACATCTTGTTTTCATCAAATTGTACATACTTATGCATTTTGTGTCTTAATCAAGAAGAGAATAATTTTGGCTTTCCTCTTCTCTCTTATTTATAAAGACAAATAAAATTATGACTCATCTTGATTTCTTATTTAAATGGAGAGTATGGAAGTCTTGCTCCATTTAAATTAACAAATGGTGCTGTGATGTGGTTTGGCTGAATGAAGCTGAAAATGACACATTGAAGACCGTGTGCTCACACTCCTGCTAAATATGAGCCAAAGAAAGGAAAGTAAGATCAGCTCCTGTTATGGACTGAATGTTTGCGTCCTCTCCAAATTCATATGCTGAAACCGTAATCCCTAATGTGATAGTATTTAGAGGTGGGGATTTGGGGAGATAATTAGATCATGAGGACGGAGCCATCATGAATGGGATTAGTGTCCATATAAGAAAAAGCAAAGAAGAGCTTGCTTCCTGTTTCTCTGCTCTCTACCGTGTGGAGATACAATGAGAAGATGGACATCTGAAAACCAGGAAGTGAGCTTTCACCAGACACCAGATCTGCCAGAACCTTGATCTTGGACATGCTGGCCTCCAGAACCGTGAGAAATAAATGTTGTTATTTAAGCTACCAAATTCTGGTATATATGATATAGCAGCCTGAACTGACTAAGACAGCCTTGGTTGGGCACTGGTGCAGAGCCTGCCTGCCTCTGCCGTCTGTCTCTAACCAACGGGGAATCATGCTGCTAGACAGCTACTATGTTGAGAAAAATGTACAGAGACATGTGTATCAATTAGGGTAGGTTAAACTGCTTGACAAAGAGATCCAAAATTCAGTAGCTCAAACAAATAGAACTTAATTTTTCTCTAAAAAAACAGTCCAGGGCAGGTGCTCCAGGTAACCTGGAAGCTCTACTCCATATTTCAAAGGTCCAGGTTTTTCCTGTCCCCTTGTTTCCCCCACAGGAAGTTTTTCTCTCACAGTTGAAGCTGAGTTGTGGTCAGCAAATGTGGAAATAACAATCTGGTCTTAAGGTGTCCAGTTGGAAGCAGCAAACGTCACTTCTGCTTGCATTCCAAGGAAGAGAATTAAGCCACATGGCCAAATCTAATTGGTAGGGTGACAAGGAAATGTTGGGCAGGTAGCCAGCCATGTGTCAGGCTACAATTTTGGTGCTGTGGAAGAAGTTTGAAATGGATGTGGAAAGATACCTAGCAGTTTCTGCCACTCATTGGAAAGTAAGAAAATTATTTTTATTTTCTGCTGGGTTTTTTCTTGCTGTTTGTTATCACATGGATTTTTGCTAGATAGTACTGGGTATGTATTCTCAAAATATAGACTAAATTTATGTGTGAGCTGAAGCAAGTGGATTTTTCTCTTTGAGAGAATTGCAGCCCTTATTAATAAGTTTTATATTTTGCTGCTGGACCAGGGATGGAGAGCTGAATCTCCAAGAAAGAAAACCAGTGACCTAAGAAGGTTTCCTGTTATTAATAGCAGGAGGCAGCCATCTTCATAGGGGATAAATCCAGGGCTAAGTTTTGTTTTCTGAAGGCATTCATTTTTTTCCTTCTTATTCATGGAAGAAAAGAGATCATATATATTCCCCAAACTGCTCATCTTAATTTAATGATTTCTTCCATTGCTCACATAAGAAATATTCTCCCCCGTGTGAAAACCTCTATTAATTGAGAGATGAACAATGGAGTATCGAAGAGGATTCTGGGATTCCAGTGGAGACTCTAGTCTTTCTGATGATAAAGAAATATGTTTGATGAAGCTGTATGTTATTTAAAAAGTATTGGCATAGATACTCCATGCATGACAAAGGAAAATAATTTACTTTAGAGAGCACCTTTTAATTATATGGGATAGTTCATTTCTGGAGGGCGTAAAAAAGTAAAGGTTACAAAGTCTTTCAGGTTCAGTAGAGCTCCTACTTCATGAGTTACGAGAAATTTCCAAGTGTTTGCCAACATCCGAGATAAGAGACTTTAAAGGCCATCTAGAGAAGAGCGAGAGAGTACAAATCCAACAAAAATTTCTACTGCTTTCCTTGTGTTTGGAAAGAGAGCCAAGTCATAAATCGTACTTGGTAACTCGAACAAACACACTAAATAATGTATCTAAATTAGACTTTGAGGGACAGTGTCAGTTCCAGTCCTTCAACAAGCAGAGGTCATGTTGGAATTAAATGTTCAAAAGATTTGATGAGGGAAATACCAGTGAAGGGCAAAGGGGTTGAGGAGCAGGCGTGGGCAGGGAGAGCCCTCAGATCATCCTGCGGGTCTGACACCTGTGTAAGGAGAGGAGGAAGTAAGGAAAATCGTGGGGGAGAGGAGCCTCAGACGCCAGTGAAGCTCTGAGAAAGTCTTGGCCAGGCTGGTAGGGAGCCCTAGAGCAAAGATTGTCCAACAAAGGTGTCTTGCATTAGACAGGAATCGTGCAGTTGCAGTACCTCACGATGGTCATTCATTAGCTGCGAGCATTCTGGAGAAAGCCTGGTCACGATGTGAACACTGCAAATGGATCTAGGGGTGTAGCAGCTAGAGGCTGTCCTCCTACCACCCTCCTTCCAGCAGGTTCTCTTGAAGGGATATCCAAAGGTCTTACCTCCATGGCCGCCACAGGGAGAGAATCTTAACCCTGGTATTCTAGTTGTAAAAGGGAAATTCTGAGTCAAGCAATTTACTCCAGTTACGAAATATTTGGTTAGAAGATAAATTCTGCATGCTTATGAGAATATAATAAAATCCATATAAATAACTATGCACAACTATTATTAATAAAAATTGAACTCATCTGTACTGAGTTATAAGATAAAGAACAAATATATAAATTCATATCAGGTTAATTTTAATGGTCATAAAAACTTTTAAGAAACTCTTTTATACTGAGACTTTTAATTGCGATGTCTGTGGTTTTAACATTACTTAGCAAAAGCACAATGAGAAAATTATACCTTACTTCAAATTCACTTAATTTTCCTAATCAAGGCAATCCTTTTGCAAAATTAAATGATTGTGTCAATTTTGGATTTAAGGAATGGCTGTGCAGTATCTCTGTGATTTTTCCATAGTGGGAAGTAAAAATGTCAACTTGATAGTTTAGTTCATGCAAGACTTTCGATCTTTTTAAAAGACTGTAGTGGAATTTCCTAAAATCTTTACACTTATTTTATAGGTCGGATAAACCCCTAAACACATAATACTATTTAAACGTATGTAAATAAAGACATGGGCTTTAATCAAAATTAAGTTAGAATTCAAATTAATAAATTCGTAAGCTACTTATAAATGTCAAATAATATTGCAATATTTGTGGATCTACAGAATCACTCCACTTATTTAGAAAGGAAATTTTTAAGATGTTGTACCTCTCTGATGAATACTTATAATCAAGAATTATTGTGTTGTTTTAGGATGCTGACTTAAAGGTACTTTACAGAATCCTTAGTTGCCTTTGATTCCTTGGACCAATGCAAAATTGAGGTAATTAGTGAGTAATCTTAGTTTATCTGAAGACTTGTATTGAATTAAAACTCACAGGTACAGACAGTCCTTGTTGTGTGCGTGCGTTTATGTATGTGTGTGTAAATATATTAGTTTTTAATTGAACAGCCAGTAAATCTCACTTCAAGGATATTGCTTCTTCAATTCTGGCAAGGGAGAATCTTCTGGGTCCCCTCAGGGAACGTAGTGTGTGGGTGGGTGAGTAGGACATATGCATGGAACTAATCCAGTATTTTTGTGTGCCCATCTTTGAAATCCTTCTGCAATATGTCAAGAGTTTTACAGCATCTAAACTTCATTTGTGTCATCCAGAGCTGCCTCTGACTTCATGTTGGCCAACAGAACCAAGTGTGAGAATCACACCCAGATGTGCAAATGCAGAATCTTTCTAAGTCCACACACGGACAGATTCAGCCTGATGTAAAATAATATTCCATTCGCTTTGGTTAATCATCCTCAAAAACCCATTTCCATAAATAGTTTATAGATCTTTACTGTCATAAATAAGCAAATTCAGAAACCCTCCCACCATGTAATGTTTCTCTTCCAGAATCTGATTTTACATCTTACACCCTGGAATACTGGGATCCCATTCTGATTAGTAGCTTGTGATGTGATTGGGGGTGGATCTGAGGGAATTATCCTTGTTTGTTCTTGCGTGTGGTCTTCCTCTAGTGAGGCAGGAGCACCGTGTGTAAGCCGGGGAGGAGCAGCTTCTTCAGGAGAGGAGG